GGAAGGAAGGAAGGAAGGAAGGAAAGAGAGAGGAAGGAAGGAAGGAAAAAGAAAAAAGAAAGCAGGGAAGATAGCATGGATGCTTAATATAGTGCAGTGGTATCAAATTTGTGGCCCGTGTCTTAGTAAAAGTTTTATTCTTAATGTTTTAAAATTCTGAATTATGTTTAAAGATATCCTAGAGTTGCTACGGGTTTCCGTGACAGAACCAGTGGTGGGATTCAAAATGTTTTACTACCGGTTCCGTGGGCATGGCTTGGTGGGTGTGACATGGCTTGGTGGGTATGGCAGGGGAAGGTTATTGCAAAATCCACCCCACTAACCTGCTTTCCAGCTCCGTTCTCCTGTGCAGGGCAACGAAAGAAGACGCAGCTGATCATCTAGGACTGGGGGCAGGGCCAGTCAGAGGTGGTATTTGCCGGTTCTCCAAACTACTCAAAATTTCCGCTACCAATTCTCCAGAACTGGTCAGAACCTGCTGAATACCACCTCTGGACAGAACATTGAAAATTGGTAGTGTAGCTGTTAGCAGGGGTTGTATGTGGTCCAAAGATGATGCTAACATGTCTTAAAAAATGGAGACCTTTCAGATAGGTCTTCTTCATGATGTCTCTGTGCTTTGGGCGGCTTCTCAGGATGATCCTCTCTGGAAATTGCTAGAACAGAAAGCATTGCTAACTAGAATGGGTAAATGTAGAAAGCTTGAGGAATTATGGAAGAATACAATTTATATAAAATTGCAACTAAAAAAAAAGGTCACATTTAATTGATGGACTCCTTCAGCTGCCAGGCTTGGAACCTACAATCACATTCCTCTGTCTGTTCTGGGGATTTATTTATTATTTCGATGAAATTTGTCTGGGATCATAACGTCAGAAAAATTACAGTTCTGATGTCTAGGAAAGGAGAAAGTGGCAAGCTGGGGCAACTTGAAGGAAATTTTGGAAGGTGGCTGGAGATATTACAGGCCAATTTTGCAAGGCTTTCTACCAATTATAAATGGTTAATCAAAACAGGAAAAGTGTCACGCCTGGTGTCCATCCGAAAGGACAGATGATGAATTGCCTTATCTCCCATCCTGTTATTTCACAGCCAACTAAACTGTAGAGTCTCAGACTGCAGATTGCCACCTTATTAAAACCAGAGGCTGCATATTTGCTTCCAACTGGCACTTGAAGCGTGGGCCAGTGGTTTAACATCCCATCTTCTCTTTGCTGATGTTAATTCTTTTTCAGTCACTTTGATGTAATGGGGGATTATAAAAAGAGACTAGAGAGCCATAAACCAGACATGCACTTGTACCAGTTTTGTTCTTTCGAATCCATGCCCGGATGACTGACTTCCAAGTTTAGCCTATTATTTCTCAATGCCTCATAGCAGTATTATATGCAGCCCTACAGAGTGCCAGGCGATAATTATTAGCTGATATATTTTGAACAGAAGCTGGAGAAAGGGGTCATGAGTTGAATACTTGCTGGGGTCATGAGTTGAATACTTTCCCTATTCCTTCCAATCCTAAACTTTAATTCGTTGGGCGGTGCAACCAACTGA